AAAATGAACTGGGAACTCAGCTCTTTCAAACCAAGTCTTGTGCCACCTGTGGAAAGACACCAGCCAGCTGAGCACAGACTCTATGGTGTGTGTGGGGTGGGGTGGGGGGGGTGGGGGGGGAGTTGGCACCAGTGGTTCCACTGGGGAGCAGGGCGAGGTGCCAGGAGTGGAGCCTACTTATCTGAAGTACCAATCCCATGGACCTGACATTTCATTTCTCCTCTGCCCCATCTGAGAATTCAGGACTCTGCTACGACAGATGCTACCTGATTGGCCCCTTTCCCCTCTACATGGCCACCTCCCTGACCACATCAGCACTAGCGTTCCAGGGGAACCCAAGCCTAAGACATGGGCCCAGCAGGGGTGACAATGGGTAAAGGAAGAAGCCAACAGCTGTGAACATGGGGGAAGGAGTGAAAAGGAGAAAAAAAAAAAAAAGAATGCTTGTGGTTCTTCCCTCACTCTCAGATGCCTCTATGTTCGGACTTGGAACTTGCCAGCCTTTGTCATATATTTTATGCCCTTGAAGGGTTTGTACTTCTCCCCATACATATCCAGGCGATTCACCTTCAGCCCTAAAACAAAGAAGGAGACAGTGAGATTCTGGGAGTGGGGCAGGGCTTCTGCCTTCCCACCCCACCTGGGTTACTGTGTGACAGAGCTGTAGAAGCAGCAGAGCTGAGGCGGGGTGCAGGCAGGCGGTACTAGGCAGCAGCCAGCAGAGAGGTGCATAACTAGATTCACCAACATGAAGCCCAAGCAGAGACAACATTTGAGCGGAGGAACTCAGCCATGGCACTAAAATGGCCCCGATGCCTGTAGAAGCATCAGGCTGGGTGTCAGACACAAGCTTGCCCAGCACAGGACAGTCTGTGCTCCTTCACCGGTAGCACCTACCAGAGATAGCCAGCTGCTGAATTTTAAACTGCAGGTTGATAGTGGGATTTTCGTCAGGCTTGGAGGCCCCCGCTTGGAGGCTCATGGTCCCCTTCAAACTCGGCAGCTTCTGGGGGTTTATTTCCCCTACCTACCATGACAGCAGCTTCCAAGAACAGAAAGGCAGCAGTAAGACAGAAGAATATCACAACAATCTGTAAGAGATTAACTCATGTACGGATGGTGTCAATGCTGCCTTGGGCAAAGGGGTTTGCCAACTCTATCCCAGTATTTGGTCTTTCCCATGAGAGCCACTGGACCTGCTCCCCAACTCTAGACCATGAGTCAACTCAGGCCACCTCAGAGTACATAAAGCTGAAAGGCTGCCTGAGGCCTGCACACTTGGAACCCACTGCTTCCTGCCTCTTTCGTGCCAATAGGCCACTGGCCACAGACATTCTTGCTGTGCGTGTTTAGGAGTTCTTGCTCTTCCAACACGGGTGCCTAAAAGTAATGCAGATCTTCCTGGGGTATTACAGGCTTAGGCTGAACAACTACCATGGGAGACAAGGCTTCTCCCTGTTTTGAGACAGGTCTAGTTTGAAGCACACTCAAGATCACGAGCCAATCAATTCAAAACCCTCAGCCCTGTAAACAGGAGTCAACACCCTCGCACCACTGGACTGCACAGCTTGGCATCAAACAGGCAGCATTACCCTCCTCACTATTTCTGCTCTCACCATCACCCAAGAGTAATCAAAAGTTAGGCATTAGATTGCAGAAACCCAAATGAGCAGTGCTGAGTAAGAACTGGCTCGGGAGGAAGATGACTCCCTCCAGCCGGGGAAGGCTCTGTTGAGAGCAATGCTCAGGGCAGAAAAACAAGCACAGAATCCCCACTCTGCACTGATCAGGTGCTCTCCCCAGATTTCAGGCCAAAGCTCAGAGGGAGCATTTTATGCAGCAAAGCAGCAGGCTGAGCCATGCAACTTCAGCTCCAGCCTAGGTTAAAATTCCACATTCCTCTTTCCTCTCACCTTTGTCACTGGGTCGAAAGTGTGCGTTCCCTGAGAGGGAGTGAGGCTCATGTTTAAGACACCTTTTGGCATCTGGCTAGTGACTATCACCCCTTCTACAGTCTTCCCCATTGTCTGTTTGGGTCCTACGGTGATCTCGAAGCGTCCCAGAGAACTACTGTCACGGAAACTGATGTTGTGTTTAACATAAACAGGAATGGCCACCAAGCTGAAACAAAGGACACGTCACTGCAGTTGCAAGCCACCCCTTCATCTGCACTTCGCCCTCCTGGACCCTTACAGGCCCTGAAGGACATTCATGCTGTGCAAGAAAAAAAAGGAGTGCAAGGCCCAGCCAGAAGCTGTTTCCAGCTTTGTTTCACCAACCCACAGCCTGGCCTCTCAGCATCCCACACTCCTTCACTGGAGGCCAGTCAAGAATGAATTATGGTTTGTAACAGACTCGGAAGCTTTCAAGGGAAGGAAATATAGCATCCTTCAGTCTGACCACAATGGCAAGCTGACCTAAGCTAGGTAGCAGCAGCACTGTCTTGAACTGCTTGCAATTTGACATCATGTTTCTGCTCCCTTCCATCTAGCTGCAGACAGCAAGAGAGCTCTTCTCTTGACAGCTCCTCACTTGACAAAGTCCATGACACAGCTTTAGGGCCTAGGGCTAAGGCTGCTGATGTCAAACCAGCTGTTCGTGGAGAAGCCCAAACAACGAGGGAAAGCACACAAAGGTTACTTGCCCTATTATATCACTGGGTCACTCAGCTCTTGCTTTCCCTTAAGCTAGTTGTCTCGGGGGGATAAGAAACTGAAGCTTTTTGCTGACCTGCCATTTCCCAATTTGTTATTGCTGTACACTGTGCTCCTGCCATTAAGCTGTGAACAGAGCTGGCTTGCAGGAGTGAAATGACAGGATTACTGTCACAGCAAGCAAAGAGTATACTCAGATATTAGCAAAAGCTACTGTTCCTTTGGTCCTCGCTCAAGAATGGCAAGCAGCAACCCCCACCCTCTTGTCGTTTCTTTCATCTCCAGGCACGAGGGAAGGAAACAGTCCTCAGCCCTGGATTCCCCACTCACTTCTGAGCACTGACATGGTAGGAGAGCAGACGGAAATTCCCATCAGGTGGGATGAAAGATAGAATCCGTTCCGACTCCCAGCGTTTGAAACGCACGCAAGGATGGAAGCTGACATCATCCAGCAATCGGGGGTTCTGGAATGAGAGACAAGAGCCTAAGGCACTACTATGCCTTGTGACAAAGAACCTGCCCTCGTCCCCTTGCTGCATTCCCTTCTGTGCCACACAAAGCACCTGCTGCAAGGCACACAGTACATTCCTCTATTCTGGAGCTGCCCACACTCGGCTGCCTTTAACCGTAAAATATTTTCATTTGTCTGACAGTTGTTATATCAGATCATAGCCCAGCAAAGCCATGCACTGGGTTAGGTCATACAGCTGCCCTGATGAACAGGTGGTCACCATAAGACACCCGTCTCATGGTGCATGATGAGACTATAAAACTATAGGCTGCTTCTAGCAACCTATTTAGAAATGCAACCCTCACAATTAACTGCACAACTATTTAACAAAGAGCTTTCACCGTCAGTTCCTTCCTCCTTTCGCCAGCCAGCAGCTGAAGCCTGCCCTGATGGAATCCAGCGCAGCAAGCCCAGAACCCCATCAGCCAAAGGCATCTCCTGATGCCTAGCAGAGGCTGTTTAAACAGGCCTGTACTCCCTTTAAACAATATTAAGAGATCATAATGCCCCTTCCTTAAGCTTTACCATGAAGGAGAGAGTGAGGTCCGGCATCCCTGTCAGCTTGACACAAGCATCAATCACCCCTTGGATTTCGGCAGTAATTGTGGAACCTAAAAAGGGCAGCAAACAAAGCACGTCATGGGAAATGACTTTAGAGCTGAATGACAGTCACCAGGGACAGGAAGGAAAGGCTAGGAAGTGACATGAACAAGTAGCGTAAGAACCATCCCCTCCATGCAATGCTGGAGCCTGCAGTCTGCTTGGCGCACTTGCATACACACCTTGAGCATCATCTAGAGAAGTACCAGAGACTTGAAAACCACTGGCAGGGATTCCTACCCATACAGACAGCTGAAGGCCCCAGTCCTCAGCTGTAACCCAGACTCCAGAAAAATGTAGTGACAAAGGAATAACCTGAGCAAACAAGGTTTGCACTCAACTACTATTTCCAGGTTTAGAGTTGATGCGTAAGCACTTGTGAGGCAGAGAAAGAGGATGGCGCCCTGGTGTTTTGCAAAAATTTAAGATTTAAGCAATAGCTCTAAATGAGGATGGGAAAACAACCTCCAATACCCCTCTAAGGGAAAGATAGAGCATCTCCAACTGACTACTCCTACAGACAGCCTCAGCCTTCAATGCAAGCAGCACTGTACCCGACTTGTCGATGATGGCATCTATCTCCTCAATCACATCAAAATACGCCTCGTTGTTGGTATACTTCACCCCAGTCCGGCGCCACGGCACCACTGAGAGCTGGCCTGTAGGGAGCTGGTCTCCCACATTGGTGCTTCCTGGAAAGACAGAGAAGGTCAGAACAAGGAAAACCATTGCAACTTCATTCTAACAGAACAGTCTGTTCCTGAAGACTTCTGGCCCCTCGTGCAAAAGCAGTCACTCCAGCCACATCCTGGTGTGGAGTCCCTCCATGCCTTCTCTTCTGCAGCCCATTGTCTACCGCTCACATGAAAGCAGGAGAGACAGTCAACACTGAAAGCCAGCCGTGGGCAGACAGCCATGTCCTGGTTCTCACTAAGCTACACTGTCAGCAAGAGTATCATGTGCAGATACCTTTTAGTATAAAAGGAGATGTAGTTCTGGACCCTGGGCTACCCCAGTACTAAGGGGCAAAGGGGGACCCCCCAGACAGGCTTTGCCATGTTAGACATTAGTCGGTTGTGATCTGGATACCAATCCCTCCTACTACCTAACACCCACTCACTTTAGCAGACACATCATCGTACGACCTCTCCACCTTGCCCACTCCCCGCTGCCGCATACCTGTGATGGTGTTGACAACTGTCCGCAGAATGGTGGGGGGCTTTATCAACTCCTTCAGGATGTTGGACTCGGTAGCCAGAGGGAATCCATTGTCCAGCATCTCCTCCAGGACCTCATAAACCACCACCACATTGTCTTTGATCACCACCTCTGAGCAGACGCCAAAATAATCCTGTAGAAACAGACAAAGAAGCAGTTCCCCATTGAGCAAACCTAGGAGATGGAGAAGCGCAAGTCCCATTAACTGGGCCTCCTAGTGGGAGTCTTCTGTCCATCTCACTAGCTCCTGGACTCCACTGCACCAGCCTGAGCAGGCTGGGGTCCAGGCACAGACTGGGAGACAAACCCATGGCTCCATTTCCAATTCTGCCACTTGCTTGCTGCACAGCCTCAGGCAGGTCCCCCGCACCGCAACGTGCCTTGGTTTCCCTATCCATAACCATGGCTTCACTCTTCCCCTCCCTGGGGAGGCGAGATCAGTCAATAATACAATTGTCTAGAGTGTCAGCTATTAAACATCTATGCACACAATGCTCTCTTCAGCTGCTGCAGATTTTGTGCTCCTGGAAGGGAGAAGCCAATGTACATTTGATTACAGCCACGTGTTACTCACGCAGCAAAGATCAGAATGGGTGCGGAAAGCTGCAGCCTGTGCCCCAAGCCCTACCTCTGTGGTCTGGCTGTTTGAAGAGCACCATCCTCTCGCCCGACTGCCATTCCACTTTGCTTTGATACACTGCAAAGCACATATAGCAGCACAACTGACTTCTGGTTTTAAGGAAAGCCACATACTATTTGTGCAATGGCTGTTTAAGGTGGGGGAGGGTAGAGCAGAGCTGGCAAACTGCAGGCTGAGAAGAGATTATGCTGCTCCCCTCTGCCTGGGCTTTGCCACGGAAACACATTCACCAACTGACACGGCTGAAGTGCTCCCTCGCATGCTCCACCAACACCTCTTCCAGCACATGCATGCCACTTTCAAGAGCCTCAAAGCCAGGAGAAATTTGCCGAGTCCTTGGCCTGAGCCCCAAGAAGATTAGTCTGGTCTCTCAGACGCTGCTAAAAAGCCCAAACAGCAATCATCTCTGTACAAAGGACAGAAAACCCAACGGTGACATGTGAGAAGTGGGTAAGAGAGACACCTGCATCATGAATAATGGACAATTCCCAGCCCAACACCTGTTTCAGTCGCTCAGTCCTTTAACAGGCTACAACTGATATAAATTAACAGCAATTCCTCCACCATTTCCTCATTTCCCACAAGTACATAATAGCATTCCTGTATCTGGTGCACAGGTACAAGATGAGGCTGAGCCCGAGAGCCTAAACAATCTCATCAGATGGGTCGTTTGGATGGCGCTCTCCAAGAGAGACTCCTTATGCTGCAGAAAGCTGTGCTGGCTGGTGAGCAGGCACGAGAGACTGTTGCTCCTTCCCATCCTACCCAAAGAGATCAGGCCCCAAAAGCTTAACAGAGCCCAGCAGAGCATGAGAGGACCCCCACAGTGGAGGGTCAAGCTCCAGAGGCACAGAGCACGAGTGACCATGTCATTAAAATGCTGCCCAACCTGCTGTTTGCAGCGTCGCAGCACCACGCTCTCCAGCCTCATCCCATATCTGTTGCATTTGGACTCCCACCCCCTCCCTCCTCAGCAGGGAGGGAGCTCAAACACCAGGCTGGACTGCCCCGTCACACGACACAGAGCTCAGACTGACCGCTCCTGTTTTCTCCCTCTGCCTGTGACCAGTCACAGGGCACAGCACATCCTGATCACAGGGTGAACCATGACCGTTTCAACCTTCCCAAATTGCCTGAGGATCCCACTAACACTGCTCGCTGTTACATTCAGCAGCGCCAGGGCTGCGGGACTACAAAGAGGAAAAACACGAGTTTAGTTTCGTTCTATGAATCTACCACAAGAAAATCCGCGAAATCTGGCCTGTTATCCGAGCCAGGCGCAAAGGGTTTAACCCTTTTTGCAAACAGGAGTCCAACCAGATCATTTAATTACAAAAACTTGTAGGCAGCTCCCTTTTTTCCCCCTAAAGTGTGATGAGGACAGGGCGCCGGAAGATGCCGTAACCCCTACAAACACGCACCGCTCCTGTACCCTGCTACTCCAGCCATCGATACAGCTCTGCCGGGTCAGACCCTGTCCTCTCCGCACCCCGGCAGGGCAGTCCACGGAGTGCCACAGGCAGCACTCCCCTGCCTGCCTGTACGGCACCCTGTAAGGAAGGATCCTCGGTGCATACAATGTAAAGCAGCAGCCGTGTTGTGGGGTTGTGGTCCCAAATATAGACAAGGACCAGATACAACGCTAAGAAATTGTGCCTGTATGTGTGTGTGTGTGGGAGGGGGGTCATTCTCGTCTATACTGGGGGGAGGGGGGCTTTTCATGTAGCTTTGTCAGCACAGGGACATGCTGCTAATGCTAGGTCTTGCCCCCAAACAGCAGAAGACTTGCTGGTCTGCTCCAGGCCCTCGCAGCTGCAAAGACACAGTGTCACAGATGTCAGGGGCTGGCCAGGACCTCGCAGATCGCGGGGTGTTCGGGCAGGAAAGACCGCGGGGGTCGGCCCATGGGCATCAAGACGCTGCCCGAAGATAGGCAGGGCGGGGGGGGGGGGGTGGGAACGGCCCGTCGCAGGACGCGAATAAAAGGGGAAGAGACATCAGTTCCCGTTGTCACCTTCTGCCCCAACGTTTCCCGAGGCCAGGCCAGGCCCGCGAGGCGCCGAGCAGCCCGGGGCTCACCTGGAAGGTGTCGACGACGCGGTGCAGGAACTCGATGACGAAGAGCGGCGGCACCTCGCTCTGGATGACGGCCACGAAGAAGATGCGGTGGCGGTAGACGCTGAGCAGGTAGTGGTGCGGCGTGGGGATGACGGGCGGCACGTTCTCCGCCTCGGACGCGCGCTCCTGCGCCTCGAAGAAGTAGTCGCAGACGGAGCGGCC